ACTCTATGTTTGTTACGAATGTTTAAAGAGCTCTAAGTGTGTGTCTGACTGAGGCCAGGGCTGGCTGAGCCACATCAATGACTGTATAAATATATGTTTTCTACAGTCAGTGAGCTACACACACATGCAGAGCAAAGAAGCCACACCAGACAGGATGAAGGAGGTCTGAAAATATTAATTTGTGCTTTTGAATGTAACGGTCCTGAAACATTTGGAAAATAATGTTGATTTTTCTGTTTCAGTGCTTTGGTCTTGCTAATGCTCTTGTCATTCACTCTTGTTCAGCCATAGCTCCCTCTCTCGCTTTTATTTAGCCAGAAAGGAATGGTAGTGTTTAATATGTTTACCATCTGTCACTATAATTGCTGCATATCAAACATTTCTCTGAGAAAATACCTACACATGTATGCATATCTGAAAAATAAACCTTTCTATACCAAAAAAAAATAAAAAATTAACAAGCGCTTCAGGCTGACCTAATTCACCTGACTAACATTTTAAAACGCTTTCACATCCTTGGACGTAAAACAATGTCATTCTGTTGATAATGCTGCTCTTGGACAAGGTCTATATGCACAAGGTGTCCTTTGGCAATGGTGCACAGCCAATATTAGACACAAGATATTATTAGACATTAGGCAGAGATAACATCTTTTAAAGAGCAATAAAACCCTTATTAGAAGGTCAGAGGGGGTAGAGAGGAAGTAAGCTGGAACTTTCAGAGCCAGGAGACCACAGTTTGTGTCCCTTTTGGGAGTTCTGTGTTTTGCACTGTACCTGGTTAGTTTCAGATACTGAAAGCTGCTTTACAAAAAGATCATAGCTTAGGTTAAAATATGCCCCTTGACAACAGTAACTCTGCATGTTGTAAAAAGAAACACCCGTTTCATTTAAATGTGACGAGATGGGAGCAAGACACCTGTTTCCCTATTGCCATAAAGAGACCTTCTGTGTATCTGTGAGACACCAGCAGCTTTGATAAAATGGCACAAACAGATGAAAACACGAATGACTCGATTTATATGTAGCGGGATCATGACCGCCCAAAGAAATCAAAAACAAAGGATGGAAAAAAAAACAGGCAGTAGAAACCTGCTAATTCTTTGAGGGATACATTACATCTTGCTTGTTGGAAATTTTTAGGTAATAGTTATTTTGAATTAGACCACTGTAGATCTCTAACACAATGCAAATTAATTAATAAATAAATCATGGAATCATTGAATAAGGCACAAATAATCCCTCCAGGCTTTACTGAGCTTTACTGCCTGCTCAGGACTCGTCGCTGGCTACTGCACACATTTATTTCTTCATGAGCCAGTGCACAACCTCTGATCCTCTAGCAGGGCTGTGTTTACTTATCTAAGACTTAAAATCAAAAGAAGGGGTAACTGGGATTTTTCCCATTGGGACCTTTGTATAAGATAGTGGACTCTGCCCAAGGACCTCAGGCAATGCCAGAATCAATATTATCTTAATATTTTTTTAAAAAGTACACATTTTTATGTGATGGTGGCAGTGTTGCCTCAAACTGAAAATGAATTATTTGAGAATACTGTGCTTTTCACTGTGGAGTCTGTGTGTTATCCACTGTCCTGCTTGGGTTTCTTCCCACAGTCCAACGGCACGCAGGTAAGCTGAAGCAGATTTATTCATGGCCCCTTTTCTATATGATTTAGACCTGTGGCAAACCTGTCCAGATTGCAGCCTGCCTCACCCCAAATGTTTGCTGTCAATGATTTTTCTCTTTCAGAACCTGAAGTAGAATAGAAAATGGATGTAATTAGATTTTTTTTAGTATCATTTTTTATACTCATGATGTCTTGTGTGTTTTATCTGACAAAGCTTTTAAATTAATTTTAATTCTGAGCTTTGAATATGCTATACAAATAAATGGGAGCCTTGTTTTTGATTCAGATTTGTACTGAATGATTTCTTTGCAGACCCAGGTAAAGCGCTGTCACACAACCGTGAGAGAAAAGTCATGGTCATTATCTAATTTTTGAATGAAATGCTTCTCTGCCCATGGAAAAGGTGTCATTTTGTGAAGAAAAAGACATGCAATTTTCTATCCGAGTCCAGTTTTTGTAAAGAGTGAGTGGCCATCTATCTATTGTACTCATCTCATTTTATTAATTCACCTTGTCAGAGTGCTGCATTTGTAGTCTGGTTTGCTTATGCAGTGTACTTGCACTGCATTTTAGCTAAATGAATTTGTTTTTACACTGCTGAAGGTGAAAGCTTTGTTTTTAATGCCTGAGAAAAAAAACACTCAAAAAAAAACCTAATGCTATTCAGCTATTAGGCTATGTGTGATTGATATTTTCAGCAGCACACATTCATATTTCCCCAATGTTTAATCAATTGTCATTACCCAGCCAAGTACAAAGAGAAGAGGATATTTAATTTGCACACAGCTATCCCCCTGGAGAACTGTCAATCACCAGCCATCTATCTACATAACTAATGACTGGCCTCATGCTGCCCTTGGAGTTGGGGGGATATTCTGATTTATGGCAATGCATTCATATGTTCACATGTTCAGGTCATCACTGCATATTGACACTTTCCTAGACGGTGACGGAAGATGAATGAAAGGCTCATTTGCATTTGCATGGATGTACAGTTGCAATTGGAGGATCTCATTTCCCCTAAATATGGGCTTACTCTTCAACCTCAGCTTTTACATCATTAGTCACATGACCTCTTTGACTGCAGATTTTGGCCACCTAGACAACATTGTGGTCTACATAGTTTGTTTAAAGGACATTTACATGCAACCCTTCCTTTATGATTGTGAGTAGGGAGCTCATGCTGACCTACATTTGTATAAATCCATCCAGCGTACGACATTTGCTTGTCAGTGAGCAAATGCTGTTAGGCTAAAAGCTATGATTAATAATGAATGGCCAACCACTCCTTGGCACAGATGCACAAATAAATACAAACACTGATGCAGTATGGATCAATACAGTATAATAGAGTACAATGCATATTGATGAAGCCAGGGATGTAAAATGTGATTTAAATTGTGAAATCAATTTGAGTTTCTTCTTTAACATAACTTAATTACTGGTGCACAATTTTTAAAGACTATCCATCCATATGCTAATTACAGAATTTTTTTGATGCTGACTGAAATAACTACAGAAAAAAAAGAGTTGCAACTATTCTGCAACTGCAACAACGTGAAGTCAAGTTGTGCTGCTAATTGTGGCATCACTGCTATACTTGTAAAATAGTGTGGCAGCATATATTTTGTCATGCTGCTGTTACTTTAGTTTTGTAGAATAAAAGTCTAGCTATACCTTTTTTTTGTCGAGCAGTGATGGATGAGTTATGTTTGAAACATAGTTCAATGTCACTTCTTAGCAAACTATGAGTGGATACAGTAGCGCTACTGAAAAAAAACTGACATTTCTTTGAAACCCAGTTATGAAAGGACTTGAATGTGAATCCAAGCCACTGTCTGAAGGGCCATTTTAGCAGCAGGTCAGAAAGATAAAAGCAACTTCATAAACCTCAGCATCCTCTGGTGACTACGACAATTACTGTAGTTTGGCAGAAGGCAGCCAGGAGGGATACACGCTGAGAGGAGAGTCTTTGTTTGGCTGTGGCCTGTCATATGGTCTGTTTGTTTCCATCTACAACTATTCTCTGAATCTACCCCTGGTGTAAACAAAACCTAGCTCCACAATTATTCATAATTCAGCAGACATCTTCAGCAAACAAGTGGCAAACAATAATTAGTAACAGAGATGCTCTATTTACTTTATCTCCGTGATCTCATTTACAAAGCAATTCACTGAGTAATTTAGTTTATTGCACCAAGGGAGATGTAGTTTTTACCAAAAAATCAAATATTTATTTCGCTTTTTTTTTTTCATTTTCCATACATTTGCAAGTTAAGGTCAACACTGAAAAGGCTGTGGATACCAGGTGGATGTGACCACTTCCTTAATCCCATAAAACTCTTTCTTTAATTAGACATAACCGTTCTTCCCTTATCCCAAAGGAAATAAAATGTCAAAAGGAAAATTAAACATCTCAGGATATGAAATAAACTGAACATATTGTACACATTCACACACAAATCTGGAATAAAGATTGGCTCCCTGTAGGACAAGGCTGAGCATCAGCCAATTCCAGGAAAACAGTCATTTTGTTTCGTCTTAAATCACTGCTGCGGTTTGTGCCTTATTGCCTTAAAAATGGCTGTGGAAAGGATAAGAAATGATTAACACACATTTTTTTCTCAGTTTGTCACCATAAACTCCCCTCCTTTTTTTTTTTTTATAAATCACTAAAATACAGCAAAAGTGCATCAGTCTTTGCCATTCAGACTAAACTGGCAGCTGTTTTCTTCGGCAGTTCTATTATTCAGTGTGTTGCCTCTGTTCTAGTTTCCTTTGCTTTTCGTATATCTGTTTGAAGTTGGTTATTATTTTACAAAAGTGGTCATAGAAAATAAATAGAAATATTTTCCAGAATGCAATTTTATATGACCCAGATGTCATCTCTTCACTGGTATTGTGTGGACTCCCCTGCTAATGCAGTTCTTCTTTCTTCAATGTTGTGTCGTTTGACTCATGATGTCCTTTTCCCCTCACTTTTTCATTAACACTTTAGCAGAGTTCACTCTTGTAGTTACCATAGTGAGCATGGTATAAATAAATAAATAAATACATAAAAACAAATAAATACATAAATATTTCGGCATCAAATAAATACATGACACTTTACCTTGGCATGGTTTAACCCCACCCATGTAATGCTGACAGTCCGTCTTTTAACTTAAAATAAATGTTCTTCTTTCCTGAGAGAAACAAGCTCTCCCTTTGCACACGGTTAAATAGCAGTTTTAGATATCGCTCATTCTCTTCCTTATTTCATATGATCACCAGAGCTTTTTAATTTAAATCTTAAAACTCTCACACACAAGAAAATATAAACAAGCGTAAAAAAAAGAAAGCAAAAAAAAAAAAAAAAAACCTCTCAAAGTTTTCTCAAAGGAGTTCAAAGTCTGAGACTGGGAATTTTGCTAAAGAGATAAAGAGGTGGTACTCTGACTTTAATGAGTACATAGACTGGCTCTGATCTCAGTAGCCTGCCAGAGGGTGAGAAGGGGAGAGAGATAAGTAGGAGGAAGAAGAGGGTGTTTAAAAGTGTCTCTGCTGAGAAGAAGCTGTGCTAGGACCTTTCCTCCTCAGGGTTTCCTGGTGCGTAGTAGCCTGCCAGTTGCCTGAAGCGTGGTCCCCATTCGCTGAGATAGGAGAAATCCTGTTCTGAGGTGGTGGACAGTGTATGAATGGAACTTAGCGAAAGCGCCGGTGAACTGGTGCCCTCAAAGGCGTATGTCTGGAAGGAGTCATATGGTGGCACTGACAGGTCAGCATCAGCCTGCTCCACCTTCTTTCGAATGTAGCCTTTGAAAAGGGAAAAGTCTGTTGCTGCCGCAGCAGCTGCCTCTGCGCCACTGCCACCCACTCGTTTAGCTTGTATCCACTGTGGCAGTGAGCGGATGTCTGGGCCAGAGTCACAGCTCTTGGCCTCTGGAAAGTCATAGAGGTTCCTCAGAGCACTCATGTCATATGCCTGAGTGTCCTGCTCCCCTCCACCCTCATCGTTGTACTTGATGACGTTATCCCTCATGTCCTCCTCGTCCTCTGTCATCCTCTGGCCCTTCCTGTGGCGTTTCAGGGTTAGAATCAGCAAAACAAGAACTGATGGACAGAGAGAGAGAGAGAACAAGAAAGTGAAAAGAGACGATATTTGTAATTCTACATTAAAATAACATATTCAATTCAAATTCAGTGAATAGATTTTAAGACAAACACAAAAACACATATATCCACAAACGTTCCCACACATGAATTCTCGTGCTTTGGTAAAACACAGATAAAAAGGTTCTCATTTACAGGTTTCTCATCACACAGAGGCTTAAACATATTGCATGCAAAAAGTGAATCCCTTTGACATTTTGTGATGAAAAAACACATAAAATGCCTACAGGTTCAGGCCCTTTTTAAAAAAAAAAAAAAAAAGTCCTATCAGTCTGTTAATCTGACTGTCAAACTGTCTCTTTCGCATCTTCAACCCATCTGGATTGTCCACTTCATCTTAAACAGTCTTTTTCAGCCATCTGCTAACTCACCGCCGGTGGCTAGGGTCCTTGCAGTCTAGTCTACCTCGCCTTCATCTGGGGTTTCATTCTATGATGTTGCTTTTCATCTGAGTAAAATGCTTCTATTTTGCATGCTCAGGTTTCTGCAATAAATTCCGCTCGTTACGTGTTCTCTTTCTCCTTACTGAGCTAAATGTGTATGTCGAGCATACACTGCACATGATGGATTTGCAAGTGCTTTCCATAGGAAAGTTTCTAAATACACCCATAGTAACTTTGATTTCACCTCTCGGGGCAAAGGCACCGCAGGGGAAGATAATATATTATCAAGTTTTACATTTCAAATGCATGAGCATTGATTTTTCAACATCTTGATTGCCTCGCTCAGAAATATGATTCAAAAGGCTTAATGGAGACCAATCTGTATATCAATACTCATCCAAGTCAAGTGAAAGTAAGAGTTTTTGTTTCTTCAGCTAAGAAATTGAGGAGACCACTCAGAAAGAGAGATAAATGCTTAAAAGTCTTGATTAAAAAGAATTGTGATAGATCCTGTTATGGACTAATGAGATGAGAGGAAAACAAAGGCTGTATGCACAGATAAATCAATCTGGCTTCAATTTCAGCTTAGTTGTTTTAATTACTGCCTTCATTTGTGATTAGACAAGTCTCACTTAGCTCAGACACCCACCCTCTAACTTCGTCATCCCTCCTCAGGGCTGCACTTGTCCCTCTGAAACTTCCACCAGATTTGTCTCAGATTTGCAACAACATTAAATGTCATTTACAGTGATGGTAAAAACTTATTAGAGCCAGTTATTAATGAATGATGCACACTGGGGAGTGTGACAAAGATAATGAACAACTCAATTTTGAGTAGTGGGATAAACAGCAATCTAGCTGCTCTTTGATCAGGTTATTAGCAAAGAAGAATGTGCAAAGGGATTTTTCTACAGTGCATAGTAAATACTCTGAAAGACAAGGATAAAAGTACTTTATTCTGATGTGCCTGTCAATATGATTGTACTAACATTCATTTATTAAAATAAAAGGAGAAAAAAATCTACTGTAGATCAAAAACTGAACTGTACAACAGCATCAAAACAGCTTCTGACTCACTTCCTTGGTATTTTGTTATCGTAATGCACATTCGTTGTTGTTGTTGTTTATTTTTGTTCATGAAAAACGATGGTCTTTCGCTTCTGAGGGCCATATTTCACAAAAACCAGATTATAAATGGCAGCACTGTCCTGATTCACAAAACACTGCCAATTGCAAATTGCTGACAAATTGGCAAGTACTACAACACTCTTGCAGGCTCAGAATTGTTTCTGTCTCTAAAATGGAAAGCTAATTATTCTACTCTCCCGTTATACAATATAATCTCAATAAGGGAAAAGAAGTTGCCTGGCATGTTCTCTAAAATGCTTTGTTGTACCTACAGTATTTTTTTCCTTTTAGCAGGCACAATAAGCAACAGCTCCAAAGGGATGCCAATGAAGGGACATTCAGATAGATCATTAAGCAGTACACATCATGCATCTTCTGGAACAGATAGCCTAAAACAGATGCCTACAAGCCCACAGAGATAAAAAGACTATCAATTATAATGGTGCCTGTGCTGTCCTGGATGGCACATATTGTTTGATGCCCTGAACCCAAAATACCCATTCATACATTGTGAAAATGAGCTATAGTGACGTTGTTTCCGAGTCAAAATAGATGGATGTTAGAAATAGGTGCTGTGTACAGGAAATCCATACATGTTAAAGCATGTATATTAATATGCATAAGGGCACGGAAAATGTGACGCTGAAGGTCATATGATTATATTAATAAATATTTCACCTTTCTTCCCATCTCATTTCTTTGTACACCCTACACAACATTAGAATATAATAGTGATGGGATCTATACAACGAGTTGTTGCTGTTCCTGGTAATTGTTTTTCAATTGCTATAAATGCCCTAAAATTCATTTGTAAAGTGAAACACCCAGGGGGTTCATTGCCTACAGAGCTGTGACACAGACTAAAAAGCTTTGCTGATCTTGAATTGGATTTTATTCATCATCTCTGACTGATATGTACAGTTGTTCTCTTCTTACATTGTTTGCTGGGCTCCACTGGGATACGGTGTCTGTAGCCATTGTGTTTATTCTTCTCCTGTATGAATTGGGTAAATTAATTGCCAGGCGGCTGAAGAAAGAGTCACGGTTTGTGGTAAACTGTGGCACACACAGCCATGCATACTAACCAAGCACTAAGACAATTACTCTAAATTCACACTAATGTGAAGAATAATAGGAGGTAGGAAACTATGAACTCCTAGGTGCAGAACAGCCTCCCTTCAGCAAACTGTGTTAAAGAGTATGTGCTATTATGTGGCATTCTGAAGCGAAGATGATCTGATAGCCTCACTTTTCAAAAACCCTCCTAATGGAGTTTACCTTTTAGGTATACAGATGCTTGAATTGAAAGCCACTGAAAACATATTTAACTAGGAGATTAGCACGTCTAAATTTCAATTCAACACCATGTACAGAGTTTACTCTTGCAGGAAGCATATGTACCTGCGCATAGCTGTCTCTTATACATACAAAGCTGGTCCCTATGTGTACAGATGTTGCGATAAGCGTTCCTGACAAGACGGTTAATTTACCCTTGGGCTGCGCTGGTTGCCCCCATGCGGGAGTTCATCACAAGCAGATGGGAGGTAATTGGAATAGATGCATGCAGATGCTGCAACGCAGTGAAATGGATTCATCACATCAGGCCTATAAATGAACTGATGGAGGGATTGTTTGTTCGTAAGGTAATTAGGCAGAAATTTGTTTTCATTTTTCTCATCACCCAACAATTGATATAATAGAGGTTGCCCAGTCTCTGGAGAGAGTGCTAGCTTGTTGGTTAGGCAGTCAGAGTGTATATCTGCATATGTGGGAGAGAGAAGATGATGTGCACACAATAACGTTGAATAGAGAGAATGAATTACATTGCAGTTACTAGGAGTGGAGTTGTTAATCTAGGTTTGCAATTTGTATAGGTGTATAGCATGTTATGTGGTATAGTATGAAAAAGGAAAAGAGGAAAGTGTGCAGCTGAAGTGATACGATTCCTGTCACATGTCCCACTCTAGTGTTGTTATTCACACTACATGATAGTTGTGAAAACAGTGTTTATCCCCCTGATCCTAACCCCTGCAGTCCTGAGATTTGACTGTCCACATGATGACTAGCAGAATGTAGGCGCTTTAACCTAGCATGTCCTTCAGCTTTTTATATGAGGCACATTTACAGGCAAGAGAATGGCACGGATTACTTACACCATCGGAATAAAGAAAAAAACTGCATACTGCTTGTTTTTGTTCACTAAGCCACCCATTAAATAAAATATTTTGTACAGTCTATTTTCATGCACAGAATCGAGGTTTTTAGTAGTTTAAAGGCCATACCCAGGTTTTTCAGGGGGATGCAATGTTGCTCAGAGTACCATAACCACAATACCAGAGAAACATTTTTATAGCCAGCAGAGGTTGCCTTAGATTTGTACACAACATTTTGTTGAGGCTTTTAAAGCCATGATGAATAAATGATGCTCTGCTTTTGAAGTTCACTGCAGTAGATGTCTCAGTTAATGGAGACAGAGTTTTAACAACTCTCATTAGAAAAGCTCTTAAAAGAAATAGTTAGCGATGTTATTCACAGTTGAGTCTGCATAGTGTCACATCATCCATCACTCAATTCCTGTGCAATGTAAAGTGTGTCGAGGAACGAGCGAGGGAAACAAAACACTGTGACAGCGCTGTGGTCTCATGCTGTCACTGTGGAGTGGAGCTCCAACATGTACAGAAGGGGAAAGTGGGAAGGAAACTCATGAAAATTTAAAAAATGGCAATATCAAACATCTCTTAGGGGGTTAGCATATGCATTTATGTGTGCTAGGAGGTGCACATGTGTATGTGTCTCTCTATAAAAATCCAATAATTTCTGGAAAGCCCATTTAAAGCCTCTATTCCAAGTGCTGAGGCTGCTCTTTTAAATGTTTGCTTTCTCAAGACGACTTTCACTTCACTCCCATTCATTCCATCACAGTCTGTGTTCCAGGGATCAAAGTAGCTTGATATTGTTTACAAAACTAGATGTCATCTGTGCCTCTTTCTTCTAGTGAAAGCAGCAACAAAATGTGTTTTTGATCTGTTTTAATGTCTCTCATTTAAGTTTTTAACAAATATGCATTTTCAGTTCAATTATATATGGATTAAATATAAAACTGACCAGTCCAATAAAAGGTAACATGACTGTAGGAATTAATGACAAAAAGGCACTGAGCTTGAATTGATGTCTTTAGGCCCAGCTGTCAACTAGTTGATCCCACTGTGATTCCACTGAATCTCAAAGTAACCATCCCAAACTAAGCATTACAGCAAAAAAGCAAACGAATGAATCCATACAACAATTCAACATACAGCAATTCAACATACAGCAATACATTCATCTTCCATGCATTTATAAGAACATTCACTTGCTTACCTATTAGTATAAGCATGCACACCAGTAATGCTATAAGTGCCCCAGGACTGAGAGCTGCACTCATTACATAGGCTGTGGCATTGCAGGACTGGATGGCTCCATCTGCATTATAAAACATAAAAGGAGCATTTACTTTGCAAATTCAACACAAGCAGTTTGTCAAAGCCTCATCTTGTAAAGAAAATGTCTTTTATCATGTATATATTATGATTTTAAGAGTGTGAAATCTCTGTAGAGGACCATTTTGATGCAAATTTATGCCCTTGTGTTATTTTGTTGTTTGGCATGTAGATGACCTTTTAGCACTCCCGCTTCTGCAGAAGGTGACAGTGATGATAATGTTAGTAATGGTGCAGCTCATACAGCAGCACTCACCTGTGTCACAGCCGCAAACACGAATGGTCAGGGTGCCTGTGGAGCTGAGGGAGGGAGGCCCACTGTCAACCACTAGAATAGGCAGGAAGTACACGTTCTGCTCATGGCGGTTAAAGCCTGACCGCTGAGTCCGGATGCCAGCTGTGTTGTCTGGGTCAGATATGGGTTGGGATCAGAGAGAAGGTAAAGCAGAGAAACACATATTAGTGTCTTTATGATAAATAATACCATCTATGTCTCCTTGATAGTGTCTAGCTTTTACTAGCCTTCAGTAAATTTCATGGAACTCAAATCAGTAAGTTTATTATCACTGTTGATTTATCACGGTTTTTTGTCTACTTTGCCCATATGGAAAAGATATATATAAATCTTATAAAGTTTGTATCTGTCTTGTGTGAAATTGTATGAAAAGCATATAAGAGTGAAAACAGATATAAGATCCCTTGAAAAATTATATAATGAAACTTGTATGTTTTGGATACTTACTAAAACAATGTATGAAAGTAATGAGAAAGTGGCCACTTTCATGAGTAAATCATGTAAGCCTTATATGATTTACTCATGAAAGTGGCCACTTTCATGAGTAATCACATACAAGTTTTTACTATTTCTTTTCCATATGGGTGTACTTACATCTGCACTGAGAAAAGCAGTAAAAGAACTACTTGTAGAAGTGTTGTTCACTCAAACTTAAATAAATAATTATAGTTTTCAAGACTTGAAAGTTGACAATAATTCCAAATAGAAGTAGAAGTAACTCAAGTAGAATAAATAATTTTAGTCGGTGCACAGTCCAAGGTTTCCAGATAAAGAATGTCAAGTTTAACCTGAGGTTAAACTTTTATGGTAAAATAAACTGCTTTTATGCCATTAACATTTAACATGTATCTTCTTTTTCAAAAGCAAACCACAAGAGGAGAGGAAATCACTGTGAAAGCCACTGTGTGAAATTAAACTTTACTTGTGTATGTACAAGCTCTCTGCCAGAGACAAAGATAAATGTAAGTCAGAATACAGGATGAGGCTTTGACAAATAGAGTCAGAGTGGCTTCGTGGGTATACTTGCATAGAGGATAGCAAGTAATTCATCTCTTCAAACGTATATCACTGTTATTCGTGTTGTCTCGGAGCTCCTCTGACACATGTAGAACAATTTTCATATTACCGTTTAAGTACGGGAAGCCTACACCTCAATTTGTCCTTTTGACTTTAACACAGCATTCCATTCCACTGCTGCACGGAAAAGATTCTCCCTGCATCTGCTACAGTCTGTATCCAACAGTAACAATGTAATTGATCACTTAATTTGTCAGTCTAAATGAACACAACAGTCTGAGACTGTATGCCTCTGAAAACTTTAAAACACCCCCACACAACGTATCGTTTAATTTCTGTATCCGGAAGGATAATTAGATTAGGATTCAGTTTTCAATTCTTTTTTATAACAAAATGTGTATTTTTATTTTCCTTTTAAATTTGTCTTATGTATCTTTTTAGCATGCCACGGGGCATTTCACCCATAACATGAAGGCAGTTTGTCATGTAGCAGCAAATTATATTTGTTGAGATAAGGCTTTGCTTTACAGACGACCAGCAACAACTTCAAAGAGTTTACCAACATGAAAAAAATGCCTTTTCATCATTGTGTGTCAAGACTTGGAGACAGAACGCAATGTGAGGCCATGATAAGGAAGAGAAGTGACAGATTGAAAGCGACAAGCTGACAAATGTGTCCATGAAAAAAAGGCAGTGTAAAAAAGAGGGGTAGAAGAATCAAAAGTCTGAGTGGTATTTTGTTTGCCTCACATCAAAACATATACATGTTCTGAGGTGTTGTTTGTGGGCTTGTAGGCTACATATATATATTTATATATGAAAGTTGTGTATTTTTTCCAGGGAAATAGGGTGACATTACATCTAAGAATATATGTATTGTGATTATTTACCAGTTTCCATAATCACCTACATAGAAGGCAGATATTGTAAGCAGACACTGATAACCTTTATGATTCTCCAATGTGTGTGTAAGTGTGCATTTTTTTGTGAAAAGGCAGAAAAACACTTGTGGTATACTTCTGCTGTCCCCAGTGTCTGTATCTTTATTATTATGTTATATTTGTTGGATTCACATGTAAGCGAGCGGAACTGCAGCAGACCTTGCTGCCTCCTTTACAGTGACATTTCTGTGGCTCCGGCTGCTCCCCTGACATTTTCCTGGTGTCAGATCAATCTTGATTTAGCCAGTTGTCACATTCACTTAGGTACACATATCTAAACGACGGATCTGCAAGTGCATTTGCAAAAACACAGACAGGCATGGAGAAGCTCATCTTCCTGACAAAGCAAAGTCATCACTGGGGAACACTGATTTTAATGTTTCCTTACATTTTGCAGGTAGGTATAAATTTTATGTTCAACACAATATTTGAAAAAAAAAAAGTCATCATTTGAGGAATAGAGAAAGAAATCCACTGTTAAAGTGTTCAAATGTGAAAGATATTCCAAAGCTTAAACATTTATATAAAAGGCTTTGAAAAAAATATAGTCACAGTACAACTCTGCAGTTTATGAGATATACCATAAAACCATAAAAATACTTTTTTAAAATGCAGAGAATCATCCACATACTGGCATGCAATATTTTCTAATGATATTTTTCCCAACTAGCAGGAGCGTAACAGCTGGTGTTTATCCAAAAAATAATAATAGAAATATCTCCCTTTTATGAGACAAAGGTCTAATCACACAAAAAATACACAATTTTCCCTACACCGTAAAAAACATCTCAAACAACTTATCTTCTGGCAGTTAACTTTATCGGTTATTTTATGTTAAAAACATCAACCATCTGGCACTGGATTAAAATAACGCAGAAACTGTAATTATGGATTTAAATTTATATTTTCACAAAGTTTTTTGAGCAACAGTCTTTTAAGTAAACATTGTCTTAAGGTGTATTTTTAAAAATGGATTTCACCAAATTTCTATATAGTGGTACGGTCCTTGCAGGGGGTATGTATGCGAGTGTCCTGCTGCCTGTCCCCCTTAGGCGCCAGACTACTTAAAGCCAGAACTCGAGTGCCAGAGAGCCTTTTTGGTTTGTAGCTAGAGAGCTGTGTGTGGTGGTTGCTTAGTCCTGCTCTGTGAAGAGGAGTGTCTGTTTTGGTGATTCAGCCTTTTTGATTTACTTTATAATTCAGTGACAAAACTCGGGTTTAGTTGTTTCTTGTCTTTAAAAGGCGATAGTGGCTTGTCCGTCTCTTTCAATTTATTTAGTAAAAAAAATTAATACAAACTTTTAAGTGAGCAATTGTGCCTCCGTGTCTCCTTTTTTTCAACCTGGATACTTTTTTGTTACTTTTCCTCATCACTTGGACCTTATAAGGGTCAATTATTAATAATAAAATATTATTAATATTATCACTTCATTATAGTGATAAGTATCAGTTCATTATAGATATGTCACACCTGTGCACATCCAAATCCTTAAACTCACTCATAACAAATATAACACCTGGTCATAGACAGGACTCCTACTTTTACTGTCATTACCTAAAAATTCAATAATGCTGATAATCTTATCGGCATAGCTGCACAAATACTGAATGCTTATTCACACATAACTTTAATTTAGGATCTTTACCCTCTTACCTTTCAAATCCAACAGGGAGAAGTACCGATTGCTGGAGGCTTCAGGGGCAAGATTGAAGTAGAAACGATGTCCAGACTGTGGCTCGTCCCTATCCACCACACTGATGGTGTGAATTAACTTAGGAAAGCAAAGAAGAAAAAGTGAAATAAAGTAACAAGAAAGAAGGCACAGACGTTAAGACTTTTCTACCCATTTCAAATAAATGTATATATAAAAACACTTTGCATTTCAAATATTTCTTTTATAAACGAGAAACTGATGTGGAACGAGTGTACTTGGATGCAACAGACTAAGAAAGCGTCCGATATAACAGAGTAGTTTAAAGGGACTACAGTTGCAAAGAGACTGAAAAGAAATCCTTTCTAGAAAGTTGACACAGCAAAATAATAAAAAAAAGTCTTATGGTAGAAATGCAAAACTGCCATAAAATATCTCACTAAAAAGAGAAAAGAACTAAGAACAGAAAAAAAGAGCCAGAGTCAGAGACACTCTCTGATGTTGCCATATTTGTGCTAAGAAGGAGTAAAGTCAAAATGGAAATGTGTAGGAGAACAAAAAGAAAGACAGACTAGGTGGGGGTGTAGTTCTCGTATCTAATGCAATAATAGTGATCCACATTCAAAGATAAAAATCAACTGTGATCCAATTTTGAGAACTCTGTGTGGATACAATAAGGTGAGATAGGATTCACTGTGAGCTGAACAGACATCAAACAGCCCCTGGAGATCCTTTCACCTTAACATGGGGCCCTCAGTGACAATTCATCTTCCTCTCATCCTATTACTCCACAGCCAGCATGAAACCACGAGCTGATAAATGATATTTTCACATCACATCCATCGGCTCTGTTTCTGTGTTTCCTCTGCCAGTACACAACCTCTAAGACCATGTCATTACTATTTTGATTATCTTCATCTTTGTTTATTGCAAAACAATCACTGGGTTTAGGTAAATAAAATAAACCAAAAAAGCTGCAGACAAAACAGTACCTCTTCAAACTTGTTTGTTCAAAATAAATGTCAAAATGATCTACATGACATGGATGTTACGATGGCACTAGATGAAAAATATTTGTGATGCATGTGTGATATAACTTAAGTTATTTATTCACCCTTCTTTTTATATTAATGCATGTTATCTTAGCCATGTCTTCCAGCTGCCATTAACTAAATGATGTAAATATTTTCATAATAACTGATTTCATACAACCCACACTTAGTCAGATGAGTCACAGTTTGAACCACACTTATCTTAAAAAGTTTTTTTTTAATCTCTTGAATCTCTCCCTTCTCTATTATGCCCATCCATGTGATTTCTGCACTTTAATATTAAATGAATATTAAAATTAATTGCACCTTCCTCGGTCTCTTGTTGGGACTGCTGTCCCTCCAGCAGTTCTCAATGGCCACTAATCTTTATCCAACAAGGTGCATGAGCGTACAGGAAAGGTAGTGGAGGGGCCGGTCAAGTCAAGAGATTTTATGGGGCAAGCCAGTGTCAGTAATGAAAATTAACCAATGGGCAGGTGTCAGTGCTTGTAGTGCCAGCCCTTCAAGCCGACCTGTAGACTGTTTAATTATGTCAACAAAGAGAAAAATAAATTACACTGATCCATTGGAAGATGCAAAGTATGCCTGATTACCAGTCCAGCCCTATCACTACATCACAACAAAGGTTGGTTGAAGTTAAAGATCGCACAATAATACAGAGAAATCCACAACAACCAGATGAGACCCTGTGAGAAAGCACTTGGTGACAGGGGGAACAAAAAACTCCCTTTTAACAGGAAGAAGAAGGAAAAAAATGAACATTTAACATATGTGAGTATGTGGATGATTATTTTAAGCCTCATCACATTTTAATTGTTTGATTTGCAATCAACTTCAGTGGTTCTGATAAAATTACAAAAACAAACAAACAAACAAAAAACTGTCACTGTCCAAATACTCATTTTTTTCAGTCATCATCAGCAGCATCATTCTGATTGCAAACACAGCTTCCCTCTGACCTAATCTACATTCTTTAAAGATTTAGGACTTATGCTCGACACTCTGCACTTAGTTGCAAAACACCGCATTATATGACAGAGATAAAGTGTCTAGGCAGGGAATCATTGCATAAAACAAATGATTAAAAATATACATATAAAATGTAAATGAATGAGAAAGGAATGTGGAACAGGCAATATCTCCTGAAGTCCACCACTGTTATAATTTTTGTAGAACCTTGTAAAAAGACCAGCAAATTTATTTTAGCCTTTATAGTGGGGTTATTTTTTGTAATATTGTTTTTGGTGCTGAGGCAGACAAGTTTTATCTTGTACTAGGTGACGGGTACATGTACACACACACACACACACACACACACACACACACACACACACACACACACACACACACACACAGTTCAAAATCAGTAGAGACACACACGACAAACAACCTCCAGAACTCTTAAGTGAGGCATTTTTCAGAATGATTAAAGCAGGTGTTCGACAGTTGTAATTCCTTTGTCTGGTTTCAGAAAAGCACGCAGGATCAGATAAGATCAAGAGAAATGAATCAAGCCATTACTCAGCTGTTAGTCTCTTCTTTTAGATGCAGGATACAGGTGCAGAAAAATGTTAAAGAGTTTTTTTTTTATTGAACTAAACCCTTCTGTCTTTTCTCTTCACCCGTATGCCTCTTTGGCCTGTTCTCACTGTTTGTCACGGTGATTACCTTTTTCTCTAATTGCTCGTCCTTTACATTCATCTTTTACAAAGTGTCTCCCTTTCATCCTTTTACAAAAATGCGTCCTTCATTCATCATCTGTAAATTGATTATTCAAACAATATTATTGCAGATGTAATCCATGTGGTTCACATATAAAGTCATCTGCTTCATTGTGTGATTTTAAGCTCAATTTGCCCGTCTGTGAGAGAGCCTCATTTATGGCACTGCACAGAACTCTTTGAGCCTGAGTGATGGCTATGCATTACTGTGACTAAGCTACTGCTGAGCACACTTCCGGGCCACAATTGTGCCTTCACAATAAACAGCGTCTCAGGATTGACGTTGCATCACAAACACAGAACAGGCTTAGTCATACTAACAGCTCAGGGAGGCTGTTTTGGAAAATATGCCTTACTTTGTAATTACAAAATGCTACAGCATGATTTCAGACTAAATCACTGCTTCTTCCTCAGTGTGGTGCAAAATCTCCACTCACAAATTATAGAAACACATGGACTATGAAATAGTGGCTGTACTCATAAAATGTGATTAAAAAAAATGAAAGCATATTATGAGACGACTCAAATCCCACATTTTATATTCAACATTTTTTACACATGAGCCAGTGTCAAGAGAATCATATCAGGATATCGTCTGCAGTTCGCCTTTCTCATGTCCGCCACACACCGTGAGCCTCTCCATATCAGATACGGGCACACTCCTCGAAATACAGTTTGGTTGAGCAATGTGAGTGCTTGGTTACGGTCTGCAGTGCCCAGATAAAACTCCCAGAACAATTTACCTTTACTGTTTTTAACTCAGACACAATCAGACATAACACAGACTTTCTAGGGCACTGGCAAGTCTGTTTAATGTGAGATCATACTGAGTCACATGCAGCTTTGCAAGTTAATGTCAAGAAGCATTAAGAGCGGCATTACATGTGTGTGGTAGCTTAGACATGCAGAATGAGGTTCTATGCCCACAGGGCATGCTTTTTTCCTCAGTGTTATTGTATTGTCTTTTTGTTACAATATAAAGCGCCTTGAGCCGACTTAGCGCTTTATAAACAAAATTGAATTGAAAATTGAAAAGTTTTTTTGCACAGTATCAGAGGATACAAATCTTCTGTAGCTGTCTTTGGTGAAAAAACACTAAAGTACACAGTGTTTTGTATTGTCAGTTTGAAAATAGGACAATTTTGGATATAGTTCAGCATGACAGCACTCATCAGTGTCACTTCTTTCTCCCTAACCAATCAAAACCAAGAAGAGGTGGGACCTACAATACCAATACTGTCCAGAGTGCCAGAAGAAGAAACTGATTCTAGCTGTCACTGACAAACTAGTAATTTACAATCTAACATCGAAGAAGACGGTTTTGTAACCTAGCAACAATAAGTGCTTCAGAGAAGCGTTCTAAAAATAGGGTCATTCGTGGATCTAGAGTTAAGAAAAAAAGAAACAGACAAAAAACCCTTAAGCTATAATGCCAGGATCCAACCTTATACATACTCTAAATGTAAATGATGTTTAATGTAACCCCAAGATATTTTTGATATCTTCTTTTCCACAATGATGTGGAAAAATGAGCAATGCCATCTCATTTGCTTTCTTGATTGGAGCACCGTGACTAAAGTTTCCTACACACTTTGAATATGTCACACATTGCCAGTGTTGGTACAAACATCCATGCCACAGTCGGCATGTTGTCTCCATCAGAGTTATATGACTGCTTTAATCATGAATTGCAAATTATTTCATGAAAATACTGTAAACCATGGCTCAAATGTTTGCACTACTGTTTTATATCTTTGATTTCTTCTATAATCACACTTCGATTCGTTTAATATGAGAATTTAAAGAAGAGCAAAGGCCAAGCAAAATTCAAAAAGGGACAAACATCCCCTTTTCTAAAGACATTTGTATTTCACAGAGTATTTTGACTGGCAATAAACATCTTTACGTGTGTGTGTCTTCTCACACAATAACATAGACACAGTGACATAGGGCATAAACTACCACATATACACAGTGATCTATGAAAAATACAGTTCAGTGTTGTATGCCAAAACGGGATGATAGTTTCTTCTCATCGTTCTCTGAAGCACTGTCAACTTTATTTCTCTCTGAAGGTAAAAGAATAATGAGCAAAGAGAAGACACTATAAGCAATAACTTTATAATCAACCGGGGGATGAATCTACTCCTCTATTTGAAGAATATGAACAACAGTGACGATGTAGTAAATGAGCCATGATCTGCTTTCTGTGACTGTGCCCTCAGTGGGGGGGACTCTCTTGCAGCATCGCAGGGTGAGTGGAAACTAAGTGCCAAGGGAGAGAGTGTAAAGTGAGGGAGAGAAATGAGAGAGGAGTGTGTGGGAGTTTATCGAGCAGCTAGTGAAG